CTAGAAATCATACTTTATGTCTCCATTACGATCAGACGCGGATGCGTATTTTTACATCACCAGAGCCAAACAGAAGCCCTTTAGAACTGGTTTACTGCCGGATCAGAATGCATGGATGGCCATAATTCTCGGTCTCACTAATTAGCGACAACAAGAATTTTAGCGACAAGAAGCGTCAAGAAGCGACAACAAGAATTATTTTAGCGACAAGAAGCGACAAGAAATTATTTAGCGACAAGAAAACATATTTTTTTTAATTAAAATTAATTATTGCAATAAATATTAAAAGAATATGCAAAAGAAAATAATTTTAGCGACAAGAAAGTTAAAATTGATAGAAAAAAATGAAACATTATTTACATAATATTTTATCATCTATTATGTATAACAGCCAGTATTACGTTTAATTATTGTATTATGAGATTACTTTTCCTTGTGTTTTAGAACATATTATTTATCTTATAATTTGTTTTTTAAAACTCTTTTCGTGCAATATATATTAAGCTCGCAAAATGAATTATTTGTGCATCATTGTCCTGAAAATATTGACACAAATTGTGAAATACAAAGAACTGAAATCAAACAAGTTGAGAAAATTGAAATGTGAATGTTTTCATCTTTTTATTTGTTTATTGCCTCATTAAACGATATTTATCATGTTTATGCATATTGATTGAAGATGAAAGGAAATTAATGACAATCTTGAGTTTTCAACAGGTGTTCACTATTTACAATGATTGTATATTCTGGCGCGTGTAATTGTATAGTCTGACGCGTGTACAAAGTTGAAGGTGTTAATTGGATGTTATTGTAGCAATAAAACAGGGGACACGCGCCTCGTTAATCTCATTTGATGTTCCACATTGTGTGTACTGTTATTACCTTAGGGTGAAGCCACATCTAATGTTGTTCCTATCAATAACAATGAATTATACTGTTAGAAAGGAAATTATATTTCATGTTTTTGTTTCAATAAATCCTTCAAAGGAAAGTTGACCTCTTTTTGTTTTTGTTTCAGTTTTATAGAGTGTGCATTTCCTTTGCTCTACCAAGCTGACTGAAGCCATTCAACTTTCATGTTTAGTATAAAGTAAATTGTCAGCATTTCAGTATTATTCTCGCAAAAGTACGTGCTCTGTGCAATTGCTAGAATCTAAAACGCAACTCGGTTTACCTTTGATTAATAAAACAGTTACTTTGTACGTCTTTGATACTGCGCGGTATCAAACGAACCCTTTGGTACAGGGTTTCAATTTCCTTTTGGGCAAGGGAAAAAAAGGTTACGACTCGAACTTCGATAAATGCATATTAGAAGTATTATAATTATACTATAGTGGACACGTCCGTTCATGATATCCCCTTGGGCAAGGGTAAATATTGAAACGCACTTATTTTGTCACATCGCCGTGTCAAACTGAATCCCTTGGGATAAGGGTTTTCCTCTTGGGCAAAGGAAATAGTAAGGGAAGTTATACCCTGCAATATTAGTCTTACACTCTAAAAATGGCACACCCATGTGGTAACTGTTCAAAAAACTGCACTCGAATGTGTGTGTTTTGTGAAAAATGTGAAACATGGTTTCACCAAAAATGCCAGAAATTAACAAAAGATCAGTTTCGGATCTTAAGTCAGACTAAAAGCTGTGATTTCAAATGTACAAAATGTTGTCATACAAAAGATCATAAATTTGACTATGATCTTTCTATTAGTAGATTAGAAACTTATGCAAGTAAAAATTTGTTGACGGATGGCGTAAATGTAGAGAAAATATTGCTAAGAAAAGAACCACTAACACAAATTATTGGGGAGACAAACCATACATATTCTGCAATGAGCTCTTTGGTTGAAGACAGGGTTTCTAGACAAATATTAAATGAACAAAGCATGATTATTAAAGAAAGAAACCCTGTCCAAGTCTCAGCAAATGGCAATTGTCTCTTCAATTCTTTGTCAGTGGACATGTGTGGCAATGAAAGTCTTGCAACAAGACTGAGAGTTTTGACTTGTATAGAGATGGTGTCAAATAAGCTAATTTATGATACATCTAATCACAATAGACTAGAACTTGTCTCACCATCATATGATGAAGCTTGTAAGGCTGCCGCCAAAAATAGAGCATTTTCGTCCGCATGGACCATTCTTGCCGCAGAACTCATAAATACGTTTCTTCGTGTCAGGTGTTATTGCATCTGATCTAGTTTTTCTGTTTGTGTAAGTCCAGCTTGATTTTTCAGATTTAAGTATTCTTGTTCTAATTGCATGACCACGGCTAACTCTTCTTACCGGTAATCCCAGTTTCTTCAATGCCCGATGTTATTCTGTTCTATACTCGAAAGTATTTCGCATATTTAAATCCTCGTTTTGCCTTTGATCATTGATATTTTCTTCACGTTTTCTCTTTCTATATTTCCGTTTTCTCTCCGTTTCTTTGACCCGTCTCATTTGTTCTTTCTCTTGTTTCTCTCTATGTTGTCTTTGGCGTACTGCCTCATCTGATAAAGCATACTCGTTTTCCTTTAGATTTCTATTTCTGTAATAAGATTCAAGCCTTTGTTCTCGTCGCTTTTGAAGCTTTTCTTGTTTGTACCGTTCAAGTCCTTCCTTAGATGACATCCTTTTTTTTTTCACTGAAATAATTATGAAAGTTTTATTATATAATTTATTTTAGATACGATTAGGACAGATTTACGATGACAAAAAATAAATACAAATACAAACACTTGCAGATAATCTTGAATAGTTTAATAATATCCGATTGATTTTCACAGATAATGTAATCTTCAAATTATTAGGAGCGAATTTGTTTCTCGCTTCTGAATAGACTAATTTATTTATTCAAATCAGGGGCCCTCGAAAGGCCATACAATGCATACATTAATCATTTTGACAATTATCAACAACAAAAAAGTCTGTAACGTTACGTGTAACTTTCAAAAACGGAGTTCCATGTATGTGACATTTTATTGGACATGCGGTTTTGTTTGTAATTTGTGCAAACCTGGGCGCATTGTCATGTTTCAAGGCTCAAAATGCGAAGAAAGATTTGTACTTTTTAAAGCGGTAAATAGAATTAAGGAAATATTCCATAAAACAAATTAATTTAATCTCATTCGACGGATTAGTGCCGGAAAATGTTTGAAAACTGTACTTGTGACAAATCCTTGGACATGAGAAAAATTCCGACCTGTGTAAACCGACGTAACAACAAAGAAAAAAAATGATTTAAAAGGCGAGTCTTTGTACAAAATAATGATACCAATATTGATTAACTTACCAGTATTCTGTTCATAAAAATCAAGTCCGTAAGTTCGGCTAAAATATTTCCCTGCTTGTGGGACACTTTTTAATATCTCAATCAGGGGCCCATTGCTTCGCTTCTAGTACTGGTTGTGTTCAAATTTTTTGACGTCACAATGCTATGACGTTGAACGTTGCGCTGCCCGAAAATGGTGACATTTGGTGAAAAAATCACCAATCTTCAGCACATTTTGCCCAAATATCGGCATCTATTTGTAACGCGGGACAGGAGAAAATGACGTTATTTTTTAAAATCGTGTTCGGTTTATTCACATACACTTGTATTAAAATGTCATTCAAGACTTAAAATAAATTCCCAAGACATTCAGCTTTATTTTAATGTAAAATTTATATGTTTTCCAGTAGCAACGACAATATAGTGACCAATTGTTGCTTATGACACGGTATTTTTTCTTGAGTGTGACCAGTTCCGTGCGTAACGTCGTCCCTATTCTGACGGAGATGTTTGGAATAAAACGCGTTCATTCCACCTAGCCAAACTAACACGAGATTTCCAGCCAGAAATGAGAAGCGCATTTAACCACATTTCTATACCCAACTCTGCCCTTGTGATCACTGACTTTATACAGGATAAAAGTTAATTAACTAGATATTCATGATCATAAAAGAATACATTTTAGAGAAGTATAATTATTATGAATTTTCAATTTTGAGATGTCTTTGAATATTGAAATATGTATTGTTGGTTCGTCGTTTACATTTTAAATTTCAAGTGCTGTGCTGTTCTTATTTCTTTCGTTCCTTCATTTTGATTATTTTTCTAATTTTAATTAAGCGACAAGATATTTTGTTGGACAAACACTGGCATGCAGTTCTTGTCTCTGAACAGTTCAGACTTGTGGAATTTTGTCATGAAATAATGGTAGTTTCCAATTAATGCACATTAAAAAGAGTTGAATGTAATTATATAAAAAAAAAGAGGATGTGGTATGATTGCCAATGAGACAACTCTCCACCAGAGATCAAATGACGTAGTTTTGGCAACTATATGTCAACGTGTAACCTTCAACAGTGAGCAAAACCCATACCACATAGCAAGCTATAAAAGGCCCAAAATGACAAATGTAAAAAAAATTCAAACGAAAAACAAACGATCTGATTTGTGTACAAAACAATAATCGAAAACAAATATGATATACAGCAACAATATACAACCACTGAATTACAGCTCCTGTTTTTGGACAATAACATTTGGATTATGGCGGGGTTAAACATGTGTGAGGGTGCCAAACCTTTCCCTAATCTGGGACAGTGCTGTAACATCACAACATAAAAACAAACTATAAAAATCAGTCGAAAAGAGCGTAACTCGTCAGATCGATACAAATCACAAAACAGCTAACAAAAACATTAAGACACAAATACAGATCTGAGAGTACATGTAGTTACTAAAATCTAATTCAAAGCCAATAAAAACTAACAAAAAGCATGTATCTAAGATTAAAGTATGTCAGAACACATCCAAAACCCAATGGATTTAGTGTAAAGACATCATTAAAAACAGAGAAAAAGCATGATATTGTGTCATGCCAAAATATAGGTATCGACAGAATGTAGGACCATAAATGTTCATATCTGCATATAGCAATATTTAGTTGGGTTTTATCTATTGATAACATATATATTACTTCATCTGTGCCATTTGTTATTTTGTTGGGATTTTTTTACAGGATAAAACAAAATAGCATATCAATGGACATTTAATGAAAATACAGATAAATCTAATGACGATATACAAGAACTGGAATATTTGAATGGTGTACAATATAGTCACTGACACTTCCTAAAACTGTTCGCCTGATAACTCCAATTCCACGACATCCTACCACAATAAATGACGCTCGACACTCCTCTGCTGTTGTTACTATTTGGTGTCCAGGATCCCCTTTAAGCTGCACAACTTTACCGTCAATCTAAAAAAAAATATGAAATGGTCATAGCAAATATAAATAGTCGGTGTTCACATTCATCAATAAAATCGCTTGGGTTGACTTTTTTTGGCTGATTTGATTTTCAAAAGAAGATCACAATGGGAAAAATAAAGAAAAAAGTCACCTTTTATAACAATTTCAAACATGAAAATAGTCACTTTTTATAACAATTTCAAATATAAGATAAATGAGAGTGGTATTTGCTTTTGTACATCCGGTGTTTTAAATTTCCCTCTGTTGGCACCTTAAATACTTTGAACACTATTTTGTTTTATCTAAATTTGAGACGTAAATCTTTCCTTCTACTACTAACCTCATATTTGTTTAGTAAATCTGTAAGCTGGCTACACACTTTTGCTGCGTGGTTACTTTCTTCTTCGAACGCCCTAACAATAGCTTGTGAGTCAACAGGGGCCCAAACCGCTGAAAAAAAAATCGAAAATTTTCTTAAAGGATGCCGTCGTTTTTTTTAACAACTTCCATTAAAAGATGAAAAGGAAATCGTCTTTTGAATATTATTTCTTTCCCTGTGGGAAACTAATCACAAAATTAAAGGCTTGATGTGGCAATGAGTGTAAATGTAAGCCATTTTATGAAGGTTTTTTTACCCAAAAGCATCCTAATATCAAATTATGAAATATAAGCTCATACTATTCCCTAACATTTATCCGACGAGGGACAAATCATACTTTGTGAGAGAAAAAAGTGATCCAATCAAATCCAGGTCTCTGAAATAGACATCATCAAGATGCTTGATTTTTTACTGGACAACATATATACAGATCATAGATTAAAGGATACAACAGACACTAGCACATAGAGTATGCTTCGTTCTTGCTAATTGCTAACTGGAAAATGGACCAAATAGACAAACAGTTGGTTTGAGAGTCTTTTACATTAATTTATCCTACATACATCTTTACATCAAGTTATTATATAGGTCACTCAGTAAAACTAAACTAGTATGACTTTGCGGTATGGGTTTTGCTCATTGAAGGCCGTACGGTGACCTACAGTTGTTAATTTCTGGTTCAATTTGTCACTTGTGGAGAGTTGTCTCATTAGCAATCATACCATATCTTCTTATTTTTATAGTAGGCAAAAAACTGACATTACAAGTTATATGATTGTATATATAAGTGTAGCACCCATTCCTTTCATTTCAAAGACTTGAACTTTGACGAAATATGCATGAATAAAAAAGATTTGCAATTTAATAAGAATTCGTTGTATACCTCTAGAAACATCCATACACAAAGACTTTAATAAGAATGTACTATATTTAGTGCAAATGTAGTGGGTTCTATCCTTGTCCTTTTGTCTTTTGCCGAAAGTTTTCATATTAGGAATCATATCACACCTCCTTATAAATATGCACATTTGATGTTTACTTTTATTTGTTTCTATAATATCTAGAAAAGGGATAAGATCGCAATATTTATCGGTCGTACAACTGTCTTTTTCTCACTGCTCAGCTCTTAATAAAATTGCATATCACGGCTTTCTGACGTCAAATGCGTTGATCCGGCCTTAATAACTTTGACCCGGACATATCGGCGACGTCATATTGAACGAACCGACGTTGATAAGTTTGACCCGAACTTATCAAGCCATCTTCCGGTTTTGCTGGTAAAACAAAGTAAACACTTGTTTCTATAATGAAAAATGCGCAAATACAACCAGATAAAACGATTATCTGGTTATCCGCATATTTGTGTTGTAAAATATCAGGTGCTCAACACAATATGAAGCCTTTTTGAACTTGTTCGCTGCGCTCACTCGACAAAAAAGCTTCATATTGTGACTTGCAGCTGATATATTACAATATCAATATGCAGACAACCTGATAATCGGTCTAATCATGTGACGTTCCGAACGTTGGAACCCCCCTTTTTTGACGATCAATGCATTTGAATGGGGACATATAGTTGGAACCCCCCTTTTATAAAGGCTGGATCCGCCCCTGAGTTCTCAGTGTTATCTATTTACCTTGAAAAACCTCTATGATCTGTTAATTCTTAGGAAACCGATATCCTTTAAGCTTATACAAAGTCTTGTCTTCGACCTTGATGAATTTTTCGTCTTTTATCATTATTAGACATTCCTAGTTTACCAGCCACCTCCAAATGAAATGGTCATCCTGTATAATCATTTGTGTCAATATCGCACAGACTGGTTCATGCTTTTTCAATCATTTTATGCGACTGAAGTACAGCTAATTGAATCTACAGAACTGTAATCAATTGATTGAACTAAAATGAATTTATCGTGATAAATATACTTACACCCCATAGTATAATGAGCTGTGTGATGTAAACAGTGAACAACTACAACTTCGTCTCCCTTCTTGTAAATATTGTTTGCAAACCCTAAAAATAGGAAACAATATAATAATGTGTAACTAGCTGAATTGCTAATTAATAGTGTATTGATTGTAAAAATATAAAATAAAATTATACAAAGCGATTGGCGAGTCCAATTGGGATATAAAAAGTTCGATCGCTATCTTTAAAGTTGATTTTTTTTTATCACTCAAAGTGAAAGTATCTTCCTATGCTTGTTTCAAGCTGAATTATTTATTTCCATTTTATACATTGAATTTTTACCTATATTTGCCTTCTTCTGTATAGTTCGCTCTAAACAGATATCTACTGTGTTTGGCTTCAGTGCTCATCAGGTGTATTTGATTATTAACAGTAATAATCATAACATAAAACAACAACAAACAACAACAAATATGTTATTGCTCATCACAGCGCCCACAAGGAGCAGAATAATCAACATTAATTTCGTACTAATGATTACAAGTGAATCTATATGATTAAGACACAATGTTATAGATTGAAGCAAGTTCAATGAAAAGAAAATATTTATTAAGACAAGAAGTAGAACACAACAAGCACAGTAGTTAGTTTTTGTTATAAAATAATATAACTGGGTAAAAAGGGGGAGGGGGGTCACTGGGCATTACTACAACTATTTATCATTTAAAGAAACTTTCCTATGAGAAGATTAGTCTTCCAATAAATCTCCAAGTTTCTGGAGTATGAAAATATCTTCAGAAGACATAAGCCAAATAAATTGTGATTTAATATCTAAACTACTAAATTTTTTAAACCGTTTTATTTCATTTAAAAAGTTAAGACGAATATTTGAAAGTTTATGGCACCGAAGAAGAAAATGAATTTCATCCTTAACCCCAGTACCACACAATTTACAGATACGTTCTGATACTGTCATATTTTTGTACCTTCCCCTCTCAGTCTCCAAATCGTGAGCACTGATACGGAATTTTGTTAAGTAATTTCTGTATTTGAAATTTCCCTGTAAAAGGTAATTTGATATGGTCATAATTATAAATTAACTGTTTACAAAACTTTACATTTTTGAAATACTAAGGCTTTTCTACCTCAGGAATAGATTACCTTAGCTGTATTTGGCAAAACTTTTAGGAATTTTTGGTCCTTAATGCTCTTCAACTTCGTACTTTATTTGGCCTTTTAACTTTTTTTTATTTGAGCGTCACTGATGAGTCTTTTGTAGACGAAACGCGCGTCTGGCGCAAATACAAAATTTCAATCCTGGTATCTATGATGAGTTTATTTCTAAGCAAAATCTGCTTTTAAAAAGTCTATAAGTTATAAGCTTGTTCCCATATAGTTTATTGCCTCTGAAATCATTATTAAGATCAGTATGCCATATTAAATCATATTTTGATTGCATCTTTGTGCATCTGATTCAATAGTTTTTTTAACTTTGTTTTTAAATTAAGTGCATAGTTTTCATTGATGCTAAAGTATTTAAATAAAGTTGAATACTTGTATACCAGCTCTTCATGTAGAGACTTTGAGAGGTGGAAATAATAAATCATCATATATGTATATACAAAGCAATGAAATGAATAGAATGACATGGTTACATGCAGTGGTATAAAGTACATGTTTTATAAAGTGAAAGGCAAATCTAATTTATATGAGACAGAATAATTTTACAAATTTTGCAAGTTTGACAATTAGACTTATAGACTGTAGTCAAGTAAAGTTTTAGATTTCAGTTAACACCACTTTTTATAGTGCCCATTCTGTATATGCACAGGTAAATCTGACATTGAACTTAAACTTTTTATCTCCGTGGCAAATAAACACATCGTTATGCTATTTATAAACAAAGCTATAAATAATTATGTTTCCCTTCCATGTCCTGAAAATAACTTACATTGTAATGCTGATTCTGCTTCAGTACTACCATCCATTGCCACGACAATTACCCTTTTCCGAACACAGCTCTGTTCCTCCATCTTTTACTTCGTTTTTTTTCAATAATTCAAAACTTTTTTTACACGTCACGTGACTTTAGACACACAACATATGACACCAAATAGATGCATAAAGACATAGTATTGATTTACATATATCAGATCGTTGGTATTCTTGTTTGGACTGTGTCATATTTTGTCATGTCGATCCTTTTATAGCTGACTATACGGTGGGGTTTGCTCATTGTTGAAGGCATATACGGGGACATTCACTATATTTGTACTCGGATGGATACTTTTCTAATTAAGAACTGTACCACATCATCTGAATGTTTAAACTATTGGAGTAAAAACAATCGTGTTTTATTTGACAATTTGAATTTTAAATATTTGAAAAAGATAATAAATAAAAGATTTTGTTATTTGCTTTAGATATAAAAATGATAAAATAAATACTGAGCAACTATCAAATAATTTAAAATTTGTAGTTAATTGTTTTTATGTCGATATAATTTGTCATAAATTATAATGCGAGATATGAATATTTTTTATCTCCCGGCAAAAATTTGCAAGGTAATTTTAACACGAGTATTACAGGTTTTTACAGCATTGAAATATTAACAAATCACACAAAGACATAAACAAGGGGAGTTTTTGCCTTACCACAGTGGTTTATGTAATTTTTTTTGAAAATTGTCTTGTTCGGCATACTTAAACACTGGTTATGAGGGAAACAGCAAGCTCGTTGTCCTCGAGATACCAAATATTACCCTCATAATCAGTCAATAATATGAAAATATTAGAGAATATATGAGAATGAGTCCGAGGCGCCTTTCTGGCTTTACCTTCATCAAGAACGCTGATAAACCCAAAAACATTGAAAGCCAACGATGTATAAATACATGATTACGTAAGGAGCTATATGACCAAGTATATATAATTCCACCATTATAAAGATTGGCTGGGGTACAGAAATATTGTCATCCCTGAACTTATCCAATCCGTTAGTAAAATTCATCATCAAGGGAGGCGCCCTTTTACTGAGGGATTTATAAATACGCTGCCACGACCGGCCGAAATGTGGACGTTTAACCAAATAACTAGTAAAGAGTGATTGTTACGCTCGATGTACATTAATAAACTATTGCAACAACTATTTGTGGGATCGGTATGGAATGCAAAATCCATGGCACCATTTAAGATACCCTTCATCTAGTTGTAAGACGTTTTTCTTTTGGCATGAATTTGTATTACTATAAGACAGCGTTCACAAATTATTATGATCTTGACCTTTGACCTCAAGGTAAAAATATTGACTTTTTCGTGTTCTGAATATTATAATTTACGTCATTTTGATATTTGGCAAATTGATGCAGAGCGTAACATTCGTTATTGAATATAACCATTGACCTTCAAGGTCAAATATATTTTTATATGTCCACACCAAAACATATATATTATTGCTTGCTATGGCAAGACCTTTTCAATGCATATAAGGGTTTGTCCTTGAGGTCATGCGCCACCCCTAATAATTAATAGCTTAATATATTAAAAATCGTTCAGGTCCGTAACCATATAAATTCTAAATTGCATTTATAAGACCTTAGGATTTGTCCCCTGGTGACATGCCCCTGGGTCACATCTTCATATAATTAATTGTTAAATATCTTGAAAACTGTTCATATCCAAACACTTTACTTCCAAGTTAAACCTTTCGATTGCCCCATATGTTTTGTTCCTTTCTTGTCAAATGTTAAAACATCACTACAACTATACAAATTTGGAACCCTTAACCTTCAGGTATTTTAAAGGAGGAGTAAGGGGTTAGCATGGCATACATAAAACAGTAAAGAACATCGCCCAATTATATTCTTATTACTTTGTTTTCGTCCTGTATATGCACCAAATACTTTCCACTGAACGTTCAGCTATTTTAAAATACTCTTAACGGACTGACTCATGCAACCTTTTAACATACTTTTCAGATTTAACTGAGATTTTACACGCTACGATAAAGGAGAAAAACTCGAAGAGCCTCGCTTTTAGTTCTGTTTTTAAAGCTCGCACCAAAACACAATTTACATACCTAATGGTATATTTTATATATCTATGAAGTTTTATTTTCTTCACGTATTAACATTAAAGGAACATTAAGTAAACTTTATAGTATATATGGACTTAGATATTTGCTGAAAGGATGCTCCGAATTGATAGCAAGATGCATGATATCATATATTACTGATTCGCCAGATAGGTGTACTTGAAATTATGAATTCAAATATACTATTACTTCAAACAAATTGTAAAACTACTGAAAAATATTTATTTGCATTAAAATCTAATGTAAAAAGACTAGAATATGGATAACTCAATATATATACATAAGCTAATGACAAACAAGAACTGGAACATTAGCATGGTGAAGGATATAGTCACTAACACTACCAAGAATAGTTCTCCTTACGGTCCCCAATCCACGAGATCCGACAATAATCACTGATGCACCACATTCCTCTGCTTTCTGGACAACTGTTGGTCCAGGTTCTCCGCCAACTACCCTCGTTACAGTTATTCTTCCTCCTGACTTAAATGACAATACTTAAATGAGGTGTCAGGTGATTTTTTTCGAAGTATATTTATAATTCATTTCATTTTGTTAGTCAATGCTTCCTTCCTGTACTTTTCCTTTTATGTCATTCGATTAATATTACCCAAGAGTCACTTACAAACGAGTATTTATGTGGTCATATAAGTATGGAAATAAACCAAATCAAAACTGGTGCTTCAGAGTAATGACTAAGTTTAAAGAGTATAATCTTGAACCATATTGTAACTGTGATATATTGTTAACTATAAATGTAATTAAGGATATAGAATGTTTAGCTATTGATTTATATAAAACTGAATGGCATAATAAGTTGGTTTCGAATGAATATGCCAAACTACGTACCTATAAATCATTTAAAACAGAATTTAAGGTAGAAAATTATATCTGTAAAACTATTGCAGGGAAATATAGAAGTGCTTTTGCAAAATTTCGGTGTGGTGTTGCGCCCCTAAAAATTGAAACGGGCCGGTATCAGAACTTACCTATTAATGAAAGAATATGTTTTAATTTAAATGTAATGACAATACCATTGAAGATGAGAAACATGTAATTTTGAAATGTCCACTATATGCAGATTTTCGTGCTGTATTGTTTAATCATGCTAATTCTTTTTGTCATGATTTTAATAGTATGTCAGATGACGATAAATTTGTATTTTTATTTAGTGATGAAAATGTTTACTTTTATACTGCCAAAATCTGCTATGATATTTTACTGAAAAGAAAATGTTTATTATATTCTTAAAATGTATAAATTTTTATTATGTTTTATGTTTTATATTTTATGTGTGTATGTATATATGTAAATGTATATACCATTTTTATAGTCTCTCATAACTCTTTTTAGAGTGGCTCTTGTTTTATATGTGAAGTTGTAATATTATGTAAATGTTATATAAGAGGTGAGACTCAAATAAAATATTGTCTTGTCTTCGTCTATAAACTGTACTATAGGTGTCATGTATCTATGCTACTGTATAAAGAAATGTTAATTATTTTTCATTGTGTAGTTTCTTTGTTCTTTTACTTCTTTTTGTGTAAATAAATGAACAAATAAATTAACATCAGTTCAGTTGATGCCACTAATAATAGTTTAATAAATTTATAGCAAAATTGAAATAACTGATTTAAAAAGTTCCCCTGATATATCAGTGACATCAATCATAATGAAGGCAAATGATAACAGATGCAGCAACGTAAGAGGAAGTATTTACATTGTACTGTAAGAAAATTTTAGGAAGCATGTTAAAAACAAAATAGTTTTTTGTTTGATATTTTGTTTGTTTTGTTTTTTTTTTTTTTTTTGTTTGGTTTGGTTCTTGACTTGAGTTCATTTTTTTGGGAAAATGAATACGAGTTATTTCGTAAGTTAAATTGACCTTTAAGGTGTCTAAAATGAGGTTCATTATATTCATTTACTCTTATACATATGTTAGATCGGTTTTAGTTAAACACTTTTGATTTTTGACCTTTTCCTTATTCATATAGCATTTAAAAAGTCTATAAAAGAAAACAAATACACAGTTGATGAGCTAGTACCTTATAAATAGGCAACAAAGTTTTCAGTTTAGTACAAATCTCTGTCCCTTTCTTTTCCTCATCTTGAATTGCACGTGCTATAACATGTGGATCTAATGGCATCCAGATAGCCACAGAAATGCATACATGTTTCATTCAAAGAGAGCCACAAAATACAAACAGTTACCTTTTAAAAAAAGGTGAAAATACATTGTTTAAAGATGTTTGTCATATAATGAAACACTCATAGATTAAGTGAAACCTCGTGTGTGGAAATCCAGAAAATGATGTATATATATATACATGCAAAATCCAACTGACTTTGTGTTCTCTGTGACATTATTTTTTGACTAGTTTCAACACTCAAAACGTTAATTAACTTTGTACTACATTTTGTCCGTCGATGTAATTAATACTATTGTCGAAATGCTACATATTGCCATGGGATTGTAGATTATTCTACAGTCGCAGACTAGTATATATTTGCAGCAATATTGACCTAGAATTTTAAATACCAAAACTTTTACAGCATCTATACTTTCAATTTTTAAGAGTGTTTATTACGACAATAAATTTTCACTTTTGTTCTCGTACTAGGAACAACGAAATTACTTATTTTGTAAAAATTATTTCCGTACTCCATGTATACCTTACAACAAAATTATTTATATTTACCTGTGTACGTTATTTTAATTGGCGGCATTTTGTCCAAGGTTATGGTTGTCTTTCTGATATTGTTTTACATCTAACCCCCTTGTTTTATTAATTTTGTATTTACATGGTGTCATAGATCAAATATATTCGTTCAGTGTATGGTCCCTTGTTTTTGTTAATATGTCTTTTGATTGAGTTAAGCCATTTCAATTGATATTTTACAGTGTGTCTTTCTATGTTGTGATGTTACACTATTGTTTCATGAAGGGTGAAGGTTTGCGCCTATTAAAAAGTTTAAACCCGCTGCATTTGTTTGCACCTGTCCTAAGTCAGGAACATGATGTTCAGTGGTTGTCGTTTGTTGATGTGGTTCATAAGTGTTTCTCGTT